CAGGACATTCTCTCCGATTGCTTCCCATTGTGAATTCGTGCGAACATAGTACAGGGCAGAATGGGGACCTTTAGCAAGGCATGCGGAAATAGAATGTGCTAACGAGTAAATCGAGAATCAACACGAAACCAAACAGAAGGAAGGGATTTCAGGATCTGTGATTGTTTTTGGTGTTTATTGTCGTCTTAATACCGATTTTTAAATTATACATAACTTCATTGAATGTGGAACCACTGGGAAGCCGCATACTATCCTTTCAACTTGATGTTATAAAAGATTCCATTTTGTATGCATTTGGCGTGGTGGAATCTGAAAGTCCTTTTACCAGATACCATAGAAATTTGGCACTTTCATATGAAATCGTTCCTGTATTATTTATCATGCCTTTTTTTCTAATCTCGGGGGCTGTTGGGTGACTTTGGTGTAAATATTTAATGGACAATCCGGTTTCCCTATTTAACGATTCAAGACGAGAGTATAACAGACGAAGAAGTGCGACGTTGGAACCAAGAAACAACAAGAGCAATTATCTAAATAAAGGAAACGACAAACAGTACGATGAGGGTTGCATATTCGCATCAGAGCGGACGCACAAGCTTATTCTCAAGAGAATAGTTCCAACCCGTGCGCGATAAGAACGGTAGATGCTGTTTGAAGGAGTAACGTCACATAAATCAAGTGAATCGGTCATAGCCAAAAGAAACTACACCTATTCTTCAAAAAAGCCCCAAACATTCCTCAACCGTATCTCAACTTTCCTTTGCTGGCCTCACGAGACCCTACGGTATTGTTTGAAAAGCGGAAAGGTAAACCTTCTTGCCAGACACCAGGAAGCTACAGTAATTATTCAAAAACACAATGTAAAAGATAAAATTTGCATAGCTCACTCACTCACTTAGTGTTTGTAAATCATGTCAAACGTTAACTCTTTCGTATTATCACAAAGAGAGGGCATATTACTTTATTATTTACGAATGTCCCATCTTCTTAAAGAATTGTACCGCTTAGATCTTACATAGCTACTGATATGCGAAGTAACGGAGCGGAAGGAGGAGGTATGGTATATCCCTCCTCTATAGCATTTTTTATGAACCCTATGATGTATATAATTCCGAGATTTAAAGCATGAAATCAATTTGGCGGCGTCCATTCAATTACGTAACGCTCTAAAAGCCCTTCTTTATTTTAATTAAATTCAGATACATAAATAATTTCGTAATTTGGTTACAACTTCTTTATTTCCAAGTTATTTTCATATTAAAAACAAAAGCAAAAGATCATCGAGTTCCTTAACAAAACCGTACAAAAGTTTAACGAAAGTAAAAAAAACTCAAGAAAGAAAACCATCCATTTTGCTAGTGTAGTGATAACATTTTTACCTGTATTTACAATCTTTTTTCACTTAGTTACGTAGCGCAAAGCTTAACTCCCCCCTCCCTTTTGTAACAATTCATAACGATATAGGTGACCCCCTCCCACTATAAGCGTCACGTAATTTATTGACACCACCTTAGTTCAGGCGAGATGCACAATGCGGGATTATTTTTTGGAAGCACGATAATCACCTATTAAAAACTTAGCTCAGTTAGTTAAGAAATACCCGAATAAAGAGGTGGGTCTATTAAATTACCCACCGTACTCTTCTGTGTGTCAAAAGTTTAGAGTCAGTTGAAATTTTCCATTAATCAAATTGATGTATCTCTGTTGCTTGATAAACAATCATCAGATTATAATGATTGTTGACGACAAAATTAAGTTCTACTCTCACATTGACATTCAAGAAAATTTAAAAGAAGTATGGAATTCTTTGTCAATTTAAAAACTATTTAACTTTTACTTGTAAAATACAGCTATACAAATCAATCATCGTTTCTAGCGTAGTGGTAGATTGCTGGATCAGACTAAAAAAGAGTTGATCCTTTGTGCTTCCGCTTCTTAAGGCACTCTTCCGTGTAAATCGCACCGTTGATTGTTCCGGAAGTGATGGAGACTAGGACAACAGTAAAAATAAAAACTTTTTGTTGTTCTGTAGAGTCCCAAGTGTGGTAAAAACTGAGTGATTTTTACAGTTATGACAAGCACATTCATAATTTTGTTCCATTTCCCATCAAACAAACTTTAAATCCCTCCCGGAAATCCAGATCATAACCGAATTCGTTAAAATTTAGCTAGTTGCTGGGGACCTCAATGCGAATTGAAAGAACTGTGAGACGCCGGGGATTGTGATCCGCCATATTAACTATACACTCACCCTAATAAACATTGTATGAAGAACATTGGACGTGTACGAAACAACGTATGAAGATCCAGAGTAATTAGTCGGACATTGTCCCGTATATGGGCAGCATCACGCCCGAAATCGTTCGACAGAAAAGATAAATTTTACTTTATTTTAACGTAGTTTTTTTCCTCTGTTCGGGTCCAAACACCACCTGTAATTTGCGACCAGTAATTTGATTTATTATAGTATATCCCGTATACTTAGTTTAGTGCATGTCGTATTACTCCATCACTATTGAGAAATGATGAAGTATTCGATTTTTTTACAGTTGCCATTCTTGCATTTATCGCAAGGATCCGACTCTAATTGAAAAGTCCCGCTCAGAAGGAGTCAGATGGAGGACCCCCAACAGAGTAGTTTTTTACAGTGTTTACTTCAACCGAAAATTGGTTCCTTGCTCGATCGTACGTTTACACAACACATTGAAGGCACACATTAAAATCTGAATAGGACAGAGCTCCACACCGGGGGAACCGCCCAAGTAGCAATTCAGTAATTATTTAGCATCAACTCTGATTTATGATGGTTTTATAATGGCAATGAACAATCCACTTAGTTTAAATATAGCATTTTAAAGTGTAAAACATTCCTGCTTAGTAATTCAGCTTTTTGCTGTTTTAAAAACCTTTTATAGTCTGGCAAGAAAGTCAAAAACTGTCTTGTTTTAAAAATAAATTTAAAACAGTTATCAATCCCTCCTTAAAACTGTTCTATAATTCATGCATAAACGTCATTAGCAATTGTTTATTAATGTCATTATAAAATACTTTATAAACGTGTTCTATCATTATAAAAGCAACCATAAAACTATTAGGTTTTGCATTAGAGAAAAAAGCATTTATTGTTGCTTTTTAGCCTTTTAAAAAAGCATCATTAACTCTCCAATTACTTTGTTTACAAATTGAGCTTAAAAGATAGTTCCTCATAGTTACTAAATGCCAAATCTATGACAAGGAAATCTCGAAGGATAGACGAAGTAGGATGAAAAAAACAAGTCAATTTCAGATAAATTTACTTCTTTAGAAGAACCAGCACACCACCAACGACTGACCATCTGTCGGAGAAGAGTAAAGTGAGAGGGGCCCTCGAACTCATAAAACATTGTCTAAAGTTGAAAAACATACCAGCCTTCTCCAGATCTTGCGATGACAATCGAAATAACAACCGACAGCAAACCACTGAAACTGTTAGTTAGCGGAGATCAGCTGGTTTCCGATCCAAAGCAGCGATTTTATTCGGCGAAAGACTCTTCGAAAATTTTCTTCAACCGTACATCTCTGCATCATTGGATGGTACACTTCTGTAACCATCCGGAAGAAGGGGATCTTTTTCGGGAACGATTGCGCTTCCCGCTGTTCGAAATGCGAAATGTTGTAAAACAGTATCGCAAACTATCTGAGTAACTGCTCACAATAGGGAGAAAACCGCCATCGGGAGAAAACCGCCATCGGGAGAAAACCGCCTGAAAGAATCTCACAGAATCTCTGGATCTCACAGCGCAACTATCGAAAGATAAACAAGCTTTGACGTTTAACTTTCTGCAGGCAACTTTGCCTCCATAAATGTTGCCATTAATCTGAATGGTTTAGGATCAAGCAGAATGGCTTTAGATAAATACAATTCAGCCTGCAAGTTTTCTTCATAAAAGCCATTTTAAAACTTTTTTAATTTGTTAAGGAATTCTTGAAAGCAAAACAACTTTTTCACAAATGACCCATGAAAATCAACTTTTATGCCACCGCCATGATACAATTAGTTTGCTTATTTTTTTTACAATCTTCGATTTTCAATCTATGTTGCCTTGGATATAACTGTATTTTGGTAAATTTAGCAATGAGCAAACATTTAAATGCGAAAATCAGTTAAAAAAATGTCGGCCAAGCTCGATTTGAAGAATATATTTTTTTTTTTTCAATGTGAAATAATTGGTCAAATCGACGTTTTACGAGGGTGGACTTAATTTTTTCGATGTTTTCACGTACATTTCACATAAAATTGAATATGGCACTTAAAACTAGGTCTCTTAATGAGAACTATTGTAATAAATTTGGATATTCAACAAAATGTTTATACCATCAGTTTCTATTTTAATTATTTTGATTGATGATTCTATCTTGATTGATGCTTTCCTAGTGGATTCAGCATGCGGCTAGGGAAAATGGCTCAGAAAGGGTTTTTATTGTTGCTAAAAAGCTTTTATTGTAGTTTTCAAATGGTTCTGAATGCGTTCGTCATACAACCTTTTGCAGTAAATCAATCTTGACGAGTTTCGAGAATACACCCTTCAGAACCTTCTCCAGGGTGGGCCAACTAGACATATTCTAGTCTTAATGAGGTTTTGGTGGATGCATTAATGACAAAATAGCCTTGACCAGGGTTTTATGAATGTTGTTTTATAGTTGCTTTGTAGCATTTCATAAAACTTAAAATGTTACTTGGGCGGGAGGGTCCCTACCAGACAGAGATGTCCCAACAGCCGAAAGAAATTAAAAAAAAACTTAAGTTTAAAATACAATGCAGTATCTTTTAAGAAGCACATTGCTGCTGCCAGTGTGGAGGGATCATCACCCAGCATGTCGCGTATGCTATTTGGAAGCCCGTGGAATTCCCGCAGGTTCTGATACTGAGCGCATACGCATAGAATGTGCTCGATTGAGGCTGGAGTTCTACAACCGACGCAAGTCCGGTGGAACAGCGTTCCACCGAAATTGTGCGAGATCTAGGTGTGGCCGGTCCTCAAACGCGACGCTAATTTCTGATCCCGCTGGTTCAACTGTTCTTTCAATTTCCTCGTCGTCCCTTTGATCCGTCTGATGAAGAGGGAGCGGTTTTGGACCCACTCTGCGTCCCAAGCTTCCCGTACTTTGCTCACGATCCAGCGCTTGACATCGTGTAACGGTACTTCGGTACTTCGAGGGGCAGATGGTCCTGCCCCAGCCAGAAAGTCAGCTTCAGAGTTGCCTGGTATTCCGCAGTGCCCCGGAACCCAGCAGAATACCGTGTTTGGTGGCGCGGACTTCATCATCGCCTGCACCCAGGGATGAGTCGGGGCCTCGGATGTCAGGGGTATGACACTGTGCGAATCCGTGAGGACCAGGATCGGTCGGTCGGAGAGCGTTGTAGCAGCGATGAAGATGGCAGCAGCTTCAGCAGAGAAGACATAACATTGCGGCGGTAAGCTGCAGTTGGTTGGTGTGATGTTTCCGGCTAGACCGATACCGACCCCGTCCGGAGAGCGAGATCCGTCCGTGTATCGGTGAGTGTGCGTGGGGTATTTTAAGGAATCGGTCAACGAGAACTCCCAGAACTCGAACGGTCTTCTTCAGCGGTATGTACTGGTCGTCGATTCTGATCGGTGGTCTACTAATTCTGTGTCGAGAAGGGCAGACATGGCACCTGATGCTTTTAGAGGCTGATAATTCAAAGCCTACTGAGTGGGCCCACCTGGCGACGGCGAAGACTGCCGCTTGGGCTCTCATCCTTGTACGTACTGACGTGGGTCCGGTGGTGACGATGAGGATGTCGTCGGCGTAGACGAGTGTTGGAACACCCTCCAAAGACGCGCCCCCTTTAGACCTCTTAGAACTCGAAATGGTGTAGTGGTAAGCGTGACTGCTTTCTCACCCCAATGGGTCTGGGTTCAATCCCAGCCGAGGTCGGTGAGATTTTCCTGAGGCATAAAAATCTCTGGTCACGTCTTCCTTCGGAAAGAAGTAAAGCCGTTGGTCCCGGTCCATGTGTGTTTTAAATGGGTACGATATCCTACGCAGGTGATGAAGCTGCCTTCCTGCACATTCGATTGCCGTCAATGGATGGCAATCGATGTCCGTCGGTGATTGCCACTAGATTGAAGAATAGAGACCGACGTTAAATAAAGGAAAAGAAAAGAAGAAGGAAAACACATGCAGAACAAATTACTCAAATAATGGTCCCATTAATCGTATGATGCGCCTGTATAACATAAATTCAGAAAAAATTGACATCATTATGTCCAAAAACCAAATAAAAACTCGACTAAGAGGAAAAAGAAATAATACATAGGATGTAAGTAAAATATTGCAAACATTGTATGTAGTCTACTTTGCTTGACGAAATAAGTAAATAAATTCTGACATGAGTTAAAACCCATCATGGGGCACATCAAATCACATGAGAATGCAAAAACAAAATCATTGGTGGTCAGATGAGGTATATGCCGTGACTGGACCGAGGTTTCCAGCCTCAGTCACGGTTCCACGAATCATCTGCTCCCTCTGTTGGTCCGCTAGTGCCGCTATCCCTTCTGCTGGTGGTCCTTTGCTAGTCGTCCGCTCTCTCCACAGTCCGTCATAAGAATGCCGTCAACGAGAATCGACCAAAACGTTTATTTTCTGGTTTTTATGTTTCAACATTTGGTTTGACATTTCAATTGGTTAGCCTTTGGCTCTTCATCTTTGTTCTAGTAAATTGGTTATTCTAATGTGATGATTGCGTTTAGCGCTAATTTACAGGATACCCTTTATGGGATTGTTTTGGTTTGAATTTAAAAATTTGATAACCTACCTACTTGAGCACAGGAACCTACCTAACTACTTAAACTAGGTTGCCAAATCACGAATGATCTGGTGGTTTGATCGCAGACAGGCGACTCTGAACCTTTCCAGCGTGGAAGTCTTTCACTCCTCGAGTGTTTGAAGACCGGCCAGGTGGTGAATCTCAGGATTACGAGTTCGCGGTGGACTGTTAAGGATCATTCTGAGGATCTTGTTTTGGATCCTCTGAAGCTTTAGGTGGTGGCACTTAGCACAACTCTCCCAGATTGGCATACCATACTCAATAGCCGGCAGAATGATCTGCTTGTGGACAGCAAGTTTGTTTTTGAGGGACAGGGTGGACTTCCTGTTTATCAGAGGGTAGAGCGACCTGATCAAGATGTTACACTTGGTGGATGTCTTGTCCACATGGGATCGGAATAGCAGTTTTCTATCGAGGGTGAGATCAAGGTACTTCACTCGACCATTCAATTGGAGTGCTATCCATCTTGATAGATGGATCTTGACATTAGCAGGCGGAACAATCCGAGTTGAATTCGAGTGTGGAAACAGAATGGATTGTGTTTTAGCTGCATTGATACAAATTTTCCTGCTCTTGAAATAGTCGGACAGAACATCCAGGCCTGACTGTAGTTTACTCGCTAGAGCACGGATCACTCGACCCTTATTGATGATGGAGGTGTCATCTGCGAACATAGGCAGGGGAGGAACGTCTGACGTAAAAATGTTGAATAGGATAGACCCAAGCAGGCTACCCTGAGGGACCCCTGCATCAACGTTGAACGTATCAGAGGGGACATTGTTCAAGTAGACCTGGAATGATCTGCCGGACAAGTAGTTTTTGATGATCTTCACGAGGTAGATCGAAAAGTTGTATCGATGCAGCTTGTACAGTAGACCATCAGGCCAGACATTGTCGAACGCCTTTTTGACGTCCAACAATGCCATGGCAGATGTATTGGAAACTGATTTATTCCGCTTGATTATGTTAGTAACCCGTGCGAGTTGGTGGATGGTAGAGTGGACTATGTGACTACTATTAGGTTTCAAAAAGGAAGCTCTAGGCTTATGTGGAAATATTATAAGTTGAGTTTTGGAAGCGTTGGGAGAAATCTTTTGTAAATAAGAAGAGAAAATATCTAAACTTTTCTGCAGTCTGCTGCAAATAACACGAAGACTTCTTCCTTTAGCGGAAATGCCTGTGTCATCAGCGAACAAAGATTTGTGGCAACCCTGAGGCAAATCAGGGAGGTCCGAAGGGAAAATGTTATTCAATATAGGCCCAAGAATGCTACCCTGAGGAACTCCTGCTCTACCAGGTAGTCGATTAGATTTGGAATTTTGATAATTTACCTGCAGAGTTCTGTCAGTTAAATAATTTTGAACTAATTTCATACTATAAAGTGGAAAATTAAACTTTTTCAATTTAGCAATCAAACCTTCATGCCAAACACTGTCGAATGCTTTTTCTATGTCTAGAAGAGCAACTCCAGCTGCGTGGCCTTCAGATTTGTTGAACGAATTAAATTGGTAACTCTTAAGAGTTGATGAGTAGTTTAATGCCCATGGCGAAATCTAAACTGCTCATCTGCAAAAATTGAATTGGTATTGATGTGAAGCATCATTCTATTTAAAATTATCTTTTCAAAAAGTTTACTTATTGAAGAAAGCTAACTTATTGGACGGTAGCTAGAAGCTTCAGCTAGATTTTTATCCGGCTTCAAAATTGGAACAACTTTTGCATTTTTCCATTTATCAGGAAAGTATGCCAAATGGAAACATCTGTTAAATAATTTTACCAAGAAAGACAAGGTACTCTCTGGGAGTTTTTTGATGAGGATATAGATAATTCATCATCATCAAAAATATTTTCCGAGAGAAAATATTCAGATAAACCTGAGCAAACTGATTTTCAATATGACTAGTAAGACCCAAACTGAAATTATGGGAACTCTCGAATTGCTTAGCAAGTTTTTGAGCTTTTTCCAAATTTGTGATCAACATTTTACCACCTTTTTAAGCGCTGGAATAGGCTTTTGAGGTTTTTTCAAATTTGTGTGAGTTTCCACAAGGGTCTAAGGGGTCTAATTTAGAAACATTATTTTCAATAGTTTTGTTCCTCAGGGCAGAGAATCGCTTTTTAATTTATTTTTGCAAATCCGTCCAGATAACTTTCATGGCAGGATCACGGACATTTTTAAGACGGATTAAGAGATGAAGATCGCCGTCTATTAAAATTGAATCGAATTTAACCTCGCATTTTGGTACTGAGCCAGCTCTTGCTTCAACGATAGAAGTAGTCAGAGATTCAAGAGCATAATTAATTTCATCTTTGGTTTGCAAAGGAATGTTTGGATCGAAGTTATATTCCATAAATGTTCGATATTGCTCCCAATCAGCTTTATGGTAATTGAAAGTAGAGCTGTTGGGATTACAAATTATTTATTGGGATATTTCAAAAGTTACTGGAAGGTGATCAGAACCGAAGTCAGCATGGGTCAGCATTGGCTACAAAGTTGACATGAATCAGATAAGACCAAATCAATAGTTGAGGGATTTCTTGCAGAAAAAAAGCATGTTGGGCTGTTTGGATATTGAATAGTGTAATAACCTGCAAAACAATCATCGAACAGAATATTACCATTGGAATCGCTTTGAGCATTATTCCATGAGCGGTGTTTTGCATTAAAATCACCAATAATGAAGAATTTAGACCTATGACGGGTAAGTTTCTGAAGGTCACCCTTGAGAAAATTCTTTTGCTGGCCTACGTATTGGAATGGTAAATAGGCAGCTATAAACGTAAGTTGTCCAAATTTTGTTTCATCAGAAACTCCCAAAGTTTCAAAACCTTTGGTTTCAAATGAAGAAAGAATTTTATGTTTGATTCGTCTATGAACAATGATGGCAACGCCCCCACAGGGTTCATCAAGACGATCATTTCTATAAATGAAATAATTTGCGTCCTTCTTAACCTTTTGGTGAGGTTTAAGGAACGTTTCAGTTATAACGGCAATATGCACGTTATGAACTCTAAAAAAGTTAAATAACTCGTCTTCATTATCTCTAAGAGATCGAGCATTCCAATTTAAAATATTTATTGCTTTAAAATCCATTACTGAATTTTAAAGTCATGACAATATTGTTTGCAAATTTTACTCCAGTTTGAATAGCATCAAACATGGAGTTAGATTTAAGCATATCAGAAATCATATCAATTAATGATTTTTGTAAAAATTCCATTTTAGGGACAGTAATGCTTCCTAAGTCAAAATTGTCAAAATTTCCGTTAAAGTTACGTTGGTTAGTATTTTGATTTCTAACCGCTGCAATAGCAGCATAGGTAGCTCCATTAACTCGCTGAACATTGTTAGCAGCGAAGGGACTAGGTATAGATGAAAAATTTGAAGCAGGGGTGATATTTGTACCTACGGGTACGAATGTAGAATTTGTTCCTCACTGACCGTTGTTAACAGCAGAGGAATTTGTACCTGGTCGGAAACGTGGAGCGTTTCCTACCTGTCGGTTAGAACGAGATTGTAGGATCGCTTTGCGAGTCTTACATTCCCAAAAATTGGATTTGTGGTTTTCACCACAATTTGAACATTTAAATTTCTTAGGATCTTCCATCACAGGACAGTCGTCCTTTGCGTGAGAGGAATCACCACAATTCAT